TATAAATTTGAATGTCTAAACGGTCTACAAAGTTTAGTTAAGTTAATATGAACTTAACTAAAATTTAAGTAAAAGAGATTAACTATTTAGAAACAGTCACGAGTTAAATTCATGAACAAAATTCAAATGGATAGAGATGTCAACTTAATAATCAATAATTAATTTTTTTAAAAAAGATTACTAGAAGTAAACTTATATTTTAAAATAAAATTTTATTCTTTTAATTTACTTTCTATGAATATTTTTGTAATCGACTATTTCATAAAAAATCCCCAAAATTTAAAATAAATTAAATCACTAAAAAACATCAAATTAAATGCTTTGTAGATAGTTTAGACATTCAAATTTATATCAAACTTATAATCTTTATGAAACTCCAAAATAACACTTTCAAAATAAAGCAAAATGATATATGTATATCCGTGTATATCTATTTCTCTGCCTGTCTCTGTGCTTTAGGTTGATTACGTATAATTTATTTTTTTGTCTGAGTGTTTCTGTGTGTGTCTGTGTCTATATGCACACATATCTCTCTATATATCTCTAGTTGAATTCTATTATTCACAGAAGAATGATTTATTTCCTTAATAACGCTAACGTAGGTTTGATTTATTCTAATAAATTGAAATGGCAGACAAAGTATTTAATCGGTAAAGAATGGTCAAACGAAAAACTGTCTGCATACATGCGCCGACATTCTTTGTACTCCCATCCTTGGCGAAGTTTTAATAACTTTTTTCTACCTCGCAAGGAAAATTCGATGGAAGATATTGCCTTAGATTTTTATTACCAGTTCAATCAAAGTTCTAAGTGTAAATTTAATGTTATCTATAAATATTCCGGCGAGAGGTTATTCAAATCTTGACGTTTCATACCGAATACGGTTTTGTTATTCCGATGATATCCAAATGATTTCTTTCTGACGAGATTGGTCCGAAAAGTTCATCGTCTAAAGGTGGACGAATGATACTCGAGCCATTGAAATATTTCATGCGTTCATTCTAACTCTTCTTATTAATGCATTATTTCTCTGCAGGTAAACATATATCTGACTGTTCAAAGAGACTTCAAAATTAACCAGTAGAGATTTCTCTTGAAAATGGACAAAATTTGGCGTCATATTGCTAACAAGTACCTTCAAAAGTTCATAGGGTAACAGTGAAAGAGTGATGCTAGACCCTAATCTTGCATGTGTTCATTTTAACTCTTATTAATGTCTGCATTGTCTCCTTCCAGGTAAACTGATATCCGGCTGTTCAAAGAAGATATTATATTTATCTATGAGCAGCTTCTCTTGCAAATGAACAAAATTTAGCATCGTGATGTTAAAAAGTATTTGCCTAAAAAGGGCTTATCTCCAGAGAGATTTACTTTAACTACATTAGGTGATGACGCTCCAGCTTTATCAATAGTACAAAATTGGGCAATATCTGGTCGACCTAAAACTGCACGATTTCATATCTCTATCATTCAGTCCTTCATGGTAAAGCCAATGAACTTTTCAGCCCAGCCTCGTGCTGAATTGAAATTTAAAAATAATAGAAAAGTAGAAAGAAATTTAAAAAATTAATTTCAAATATAGAAAGTATAGAAAAAATTATTTATTTTTTATGGGGTTGGTGCATAATTATTAGGCGTTTTTTGAAACAGTATTTATTATGAAAAAAAGAAACATAACAATTGAACAATTACATTATTAAATGATTATTCCAGAGCGTATGATTATCGACACGCATTTTTATAACCTGAAAATAAAATCATATTTTTTTAAAAAAGTAAAAAAAAACAACATTTCTTTATTAAGAAGTAACTCGCCTACAAAAACGCTTGATAATTATACCAAACCTATATATATATATATATATATATATATATATATATATTAAACAATAAAAAATATTAAAATCTTCAGACACACTGGGTTGTAGATTAATATTCTTTTGCTTTTTTATTTATTATTATTTCATTTAGATTCCTCGACTAGTTTCGACCAAAATGGCCATCATCAGGAGAAGAAATACTTCGGCTTGTGGGTAGCAGTAAACTACAGAAATTAATGTCTTGCTGGAGAAAATGAACTTTTGTCTGTAGTTTTCATTTGTTATTTTTTTTATTTTTTCAACTTTTCAACATGAATCTTTTAACATTCCTTGTGTTGGTCAAACAGTCTCTTTTAAGTTGTTATTTGAGATAAGAGCTGGATGAATCTATGCTTCTCTGAATTCCCGTGGTCAGTTTGACAGTTTTATTGGTCCTGGAGATGGGATGTGTCTCTGTTTAGTGTTTATGTGTGTGTTATTTGGTTCTTAGGGAGGCATTGAGTATGATATGTGTAAGCGTGTGTATTGCTGTGGTTATATATATATATATATTTTTGTTTTTTTGAACAATGAAGAAAATATTAAAAAAATAATATTAAAAAATTAAAAAATTAAAATCTTTAAACGCACAAACATTAATATTCTTTCGTTTTTTTTATTATTATTTCATTTAGATTCCTCGACTAGCTTCGACCAAAATGGCCATCATCGGGAGGAGAAATATTTCTGCTTGCTGGTAGCAATATATATATATATATATATATATATATATATATATATATATAGGCATGGTGCATAATTATCAGACGTTTTAAAACAATACTTATTATGGAAAAGAATCATAACAATTCAACAATAAATGATTATTCCGGAGCTTATCCACACGTATTTTTATAACCTGAAGATAAAATCATATTTTTATTAAAGAAAAAGTAACCAAAGCCGCAATTTTGTTAAGAAATAACTCGCCTCCAAAATCCGCCTGATAATTATGCACCAACCCTATATTTATATCCAGAAATCTTACTTATTATAAAACGCAGATTGTGTGTGTGTGTGTGTGTGTGTATGTGTGTCTGTTCGTTTATATATGGGATCGTATTTCCTACATTCTTCAACAGATTTCAACAAAACTCCACAGGACTGCGTAAAATTATCCGGCAGTGATTCTGACAACGCCAAGAATAGGAAAAACACAATTGTTTTTGCACGAAATCAATTTGAAAGCACGAGTAAGGGTATCGCACCCGGCCGGAAGTTACTGCCGGCTACTCAAACGTCTGAAAACAGAACGAATGCCGTTAACTTCCGGTGACTCAGCGTTTTTTTTTGTTTTTTTTTCAGAGAATGATACACAAAAAGTTAAACAAATGAAACATAAACATACACAATTCCTCCTAACTAAAAATAATAACTGGAAACAACCAAAAGATATTGCCAACCGACTACGATGCTAACCGGAACCGAAATAAACACAGTCGATTTCTTCCACCAAGCAACTTGGCAAAAATATTTGTTAAGTAACAGTCTAAATCTCTGCTCTTGGGCGGAGAGGAACCCGGACCAGGCTCCGCCGAAGGGCAGAGTCACGTTCGGGGTGGTAGACTGCCCCTGAACCCGCTTATGCGGTTTTAAAGAGGGAATATTTTTGGCCGAGCCTACGGGCTCGGAAATCCCACGTTAAACCCGGCCTTGTGCCATATGTAACCCTCGTGGGGGGGTAGCTAAATATCACTTGGCAAAAATATTTGCTAAGTAACAGTCTCTCTGCTCTCGGGAGGAGAGAACCCGGACGAGGCTCCGCCGAAGGGCAGAGTCTCGTTCGGGGTGGTTGACTG